GGTGGTATAATGTTATAAATATGTCCAGTGATGTAGTGTGATGTGCAAGACTTTGCGTTAGGCGGGACTCGAACCCGCATCTCATTCTGTACGGGAGCGCGTGCTCTAACCCGTTGCACGATTGACACCTGTTCCCGGATAGAGTGAGATGCGGGTTCGACTCTCGCTGATGCAAAAATTTTGAACATCACTCTACATCACTGGATATATTCATAACATGAAATCACCGCTAAAAGCGGTCAAATAAAAAGAGTTTCAGTTCATCATCCAGTACCCAATATCTGTCAGCGTGATGGGTTTAATGTCGATACCGAGTACCTGGGCCAAACTGTTGACAGTTCGTTGCTGACGTGTAGATGCGTTATAACGTAGAAAGAGTGATGGCAAAACAGGCGTTAGTAGTGCAACGAGTTAGAGCACGCGCTCCCGGATAGAATGAGATACGGGTCCGAGTCCCTACTGGCTCAAAAGTTTTGCATATCACTCTGCTTATCACTGGGTAATTACTCGATAATTGGAAAACTTACGATTCAAATACCAAATCTGTTTTCTGAATGGGCTTTCTTGGTGCAACAAAAAGAAAACTGCAATTTGTCTGTGGAGTGTACAGTGTGTTTTACACCCGTGTTTGCTTGACATTTTGCCAGACAGAGTGTTTTCCTGGAGTTTCAGTAAACTTTCGATAACTTGAGGAGTGCTATTCTTAAGCACAGACTTATTTCCTATAGAGGTTATTATACATATATATATGTATATATATATATGTATATATATTCTTTATATACTTACGTAATATATTATAATGGCCGGTAGAAACGGCGAAAAAAAATTTCAGAAGGAAAAAAATGCTAAGCTGACGTATGTGCTAGGCTTTTCTCAGATAGTTGATGATGACTAGATAGCTTCTTGATAGTTGATGATAATTAGATAGCTTCTTGATGAAAACAATTACTATAGTTTCAAATCTTAGTTCGAAAGTAGAAAAGGCTTCATTAGAGCGCTATAAGAGCTTAAAAAATATTACGTTTTGTACTCAAAGTAGTTAGCCATTCGTCTGGTCAAAATAAAAGCAGCATCTACAGAACGATAAACAAATCTTTTTACAGTTACGTCAAACTCAAAAAATGTTCCGAAGCGGGAAGAGTTTTTTTGAATGAATAGCGAAAATCGCACCATTTCGGGCGGCAATTGAAATTGCTGCGCGTAGCGCCATCGGCTGGAGCGTGGTTTTCGTTGTATATTTGATAATTTTCCCCTTGTCACAAGGAAATGTTCAGGTTTTTCCTGATATTCCGGTACGACACGATTAGCTCTACGTGCTCATAAGCTTTTAATGTATATACATACATATAAATATGTATATATATGTATATGCACATTTATTGTGTGCGAGAAAACTATAAGGGAGAAACGCAATTTTTTTTTTACTCTTGCAGCAGCCTATAAGAAACTTGTGCACTGAAAATTAGTCTTCAAATTACCATGATTCATGTTTTCAAACGGCTACTGAACTTGGAATGCAAAGACATCCACAGACACTAGCCAAGCGATCAAAGAAAACCGTCTTTGCACGTAACTTGTCTTCGCTGTTAAGGTGTAGTGAAAAAATTTTTTCAAAAGTCACCTAAAGTATCGCGATCGCCGAACATCAAGCTATCGAATAACTGCTAGAAGTGTAGGGGAAAAGCTTTCTCCATCGAAAAAGTTTACTCCAAAAAAGGCTTTTTACGTTACGTTATCGATGAGGTGAAATCGCATACAGTGTGCAACATCATTTTTGACAAACTATTCATTGTTTTCTGAGTTTCTGTAACTAAGATAGATTTCGAGTATTGTACCTAATGAATTATATCAAGATTGATAGGTTTGTGTCATAACATTTTTTGTACATTTTATTGCAACTTGCAGAATGCCAACAAACGTATTATTCCGTAGTGAGAGGGATCGTTTTCGTCATACATAAGAGTTATGTCCGCACCAAAAGGATATGGGCGTATAGAGAAAATTGTGAAGTACTGAAGTATTACAAGAAACGTGGAAATTCTCCAAAGTAGAAAAAACCCTAATCAAATAACACAAATCACGCGTCGGCTGCGAATCGTACTGCGCACAGCGCTTATGCGGTCCCGAGAAAGTCAAATGCTGACAGCAGTATGGCTACATAAAATACACTTTTTGTCATTTTTTCGTTATTACAAACTATTTCGCAACGTTTTGGAGACAGAGCAGTTTTTGCTTTTTTCAGACTTCTAGCAGACAATCGATAGGGTAATGGAAAAATACTACGCTTGTTTCTTAAATATTCCTTTTAGCGCGCCGTAGCAACGAAAAAATTATTGAGTTTCGCACTCAGCGCGTTTTTAGCTGTACAGAGCTTTTCTCCTGGACTTTCATTAATCCAATAATATCTTTGATGTCGGCGCTTTTAAGAATGGAGTTTTCTGGAAAAGCTTTGCTAGCGCGCCTTAGAAGCCAAAAAAAGATAACCTTTCACCTTGAACATGTATTAACAGGCGTCTCTCGAAGACGTCCAGCGATCTCAAAGTTTCCTTGAGTAAGCGCAATGTTCGTTATCTATGTAAAATTTACCACTCCATTTCGTGAAAACTTCCGATATTCCGTACTAGAATTGAAGAAGAAACTTTGTTCTATCGTTCTATGGATAAGAGATATTCATTGTCGTTGTTATTGTCAAATAGATCCTCTACTAAGCAAAAACCTAAGCATTTTGGGCCCAGGAGTGTGAAACGTAATCTTCTTCTCTCTCCTTCAGCGCCCTATGAATACCCTTTGAAAACCAACTCAGCCTAAGAAACATCCAATCTGTGCTGTCAAATAACTACCAAAAGTGATCATCCTCAGACTCTAACCGCTTTAATGCCAATCGTTGACAATGTTATGAAATCCCATTCACGCAGGCATTTACACATCCTGTCTCACCTGAATCACGTCGTCCCGTTGATCGTCGAATAACTCGAGCGAGCACCAGGAATGCTTCCATTTTTCCTATCGCGTGCAAGAGTAACCTCGTGGGTATTCCTAGCTTTGATAATTCGTTGAGCATCATATCTTCCGTCTATGCTTTTTGTGAAAAAATCGGACCATGAGGCTGGTGGTCTTCCTATAGAGCACTTTACTTTCCTAGGAATCCAGTCGGTTAGCAAAAATTGCGCTCCAAGTGTGGATCACAAGTTTGTTTTCGGTGCTATAGCGCTTTGAAAAGGCCTTATCAAGAAAAAAGTTTAGTAATGTAATTGCCGAGATTCAGGCGAATGAATGATTACTGAAAGTCTACAAAAAATTGGTATAGGCCTTGTCTCCAAAGGGTTGAAAAATGCATTCTGATTACAAAATTGTTGCGTCTGTTCTTCATGACAGGAGTAGCAAATGCACCAAACACGCTGAAGGCTGAGTAGAGAGACATTAGAATTCTCTCAAAACGCAGAGGAAAACTCAGTAGTATAAGGAAAATTGGGCGCAGCTTTCAAATGCAAAACATTGTGGTCGGTGCGTCCTCTACAGGAATCACAGGGAGTCGACAAAATAATCAAATGCCATTTGATGAGCGTGTCACGAGAAATGTAAAGCAGTAGCGAATTTGTTAAATCTGACTGTTCGAAAAGTAGCACGGTGCCTTTCGCTTAAGCAAATACCTGGTAAGGGGAGATACCTCTCAAATATGAAGGAATAGACAACGAAGGTGTTTTCACTGCACGCGTAACGTGAAAGAAAAATCACATCACACTATGGAGATAACAATCACTACATGCACATTGACAAGATCACCCGACATTGTAGTGATCAACAGTCGATTGCTCATGGTTGGTAAACTAAATAATACCTTTCCAGGTCAAATTCGGTTTGAGGAGTCAAATAAAAAACCGACCTCATTCACTCGACAGGAACTTTTAGTAGGAGTGTCAGTAACTATTCGAAAGCTGAGATTCAGGCTACAGCCCACGTCACCGGTGTTTCAAACCACCCTTTTATAACGCTGTAAAATTCACACAACACTATGTCTCAGACGCGCATATTTCTCGCCGGACAGAGCTATTTCTTTAGACTATTAGTAATCATTCGATAGCATCATGGTAGCTGGTTCAACGTTGTGCTCATATTCTGAAAAGACCGTTTATCTGCAACGCAGGCATAAAATAGGTTGAATTCGTATATGTGAGCAATGGGGTCTCTGGCCAATTCACTGTGCTGACGCGTAAGGCGACCACGTTCGATAACGCGATGATCATTGATTTTTCGGGCTGAACGCGTAGAAAAGTACCGCATCTGCAGATCACGATGACCATTTCGTCTCTCAGGAAGAGTTTTAATAATCTTATCGAAGTAAATAGCTCTGTTCGGCGAAAAATATGCGCGTCTGCAACGCAAGAAATCTCCCTCTGTAACAACGTCAGCAAAGGCTTTTTGTAAAACCGGCGACAAGGGGCTGGACATGAAGTCTCAATTTTCGAGTGGTACTAACACTCCTATGAAAAGTTTCTTCTGCCCAGCGAATGAGGTCGGTTTTTCCTTTGTCCCCTCATGACCTGATAGAACCCCTTTCGGTTCTCATGGTAAATTGAATAAAAGAGTAAAGGATAAAGCTCTCGGCGTGATCAATCCCTGATGGATGCGCCATGCATTCGTCTTCACTTTTTAATTTCGTTTGAGGTGATCGAATGCATATGTGGCCTCTACAATAACACGCGGTAGCCTCTGCTGAAACCTAGTTAGTGTTGCTTATCCTCCCAGAAAAGTCTGAGACCAGTCTGGTACCAATTTACTGACCCCGTATGGATGAATGGCTTGGTAAGTCATAAGCGCGAGAGCGAACCATTGATCTCGTGCGACGCAGAGCACCTCTAATCACTGCGCCACATGCGCTCGGTAGATTAAATAAAAGTTTTTATATTCCCATGCGATATGGCTTTCAAGACCAACCGTTGATCGTTAGTCGTTGGCAGACTGAAGCGTTATAGCGTATAAAGAGTGGTGGCAACGGGGCGCCGGTAGTGCAATCGGTTGAGCACGCGTCCTCCGAAAGGGCATAATGCGGGTTCAGTCCCGCCTGACGTCAAGGTTTGTTTTACACAGCGCTCAACATCCAAACGAGGCTACAGGGCCGAAACACAAACTGCACTGTATAAGTGCCTACAACAGACCACATGCATGGCTCAAGAAAAATTCATCAGGGATATTGAAATTTGAGCATGGTCTTGAGAAAACATTCGAAACGAGCGCTATCACTCAACATCATTGAGTTTATCTCTAACATCAAACCACCGCTATAAAGCGGTTAATTAAGTAGAACTCATGTCGACCACACCTCCAAAATCGCCTATTATTTGGGATCTCGCTTGAGGCAATATATGATCTGATAATATAGTTCAAGGAGTTCATGTGTTATGACACTTTTCAAGTGACTCAGACGAAAGGCACCGTGCCACTAATGAGGGCTGAAAGGCCGAAACAAGTGTTCTGCACTTTGTAAGCGTCAACACAGACTTCATGAAAGGCTTGAAATATATTATCAGATTATAATCAGCCATAATTCATTTTATTTGACTGCCACTTGCAGTGGATGTTATAGTATACTAATGTGGAGTGCTGTGCAAAAACATTTGCGTCAGCCGGGATTCGAACCCAGATCGCACTCTTTCCGGGAGCGTATGCTAACCATTGCATCACCGACGCTCGTTTTGCACAGCACTCTTATTTATACCATAACATCATACCACTGCAAGTGGCAGTCAAATAAAAAGAATTTAGCCAATCGTCGACGGTCTGGCGGATTGAACCCACTTGTGTTGACAGACATTGGATATCGATAATCAGTCAGAAATCTTTTTATTTGACTGCCACTTGCATAAAAAGATCTCTGACTGATTATCGATATCCAATGTCTGTCAACACAAGTGGGTTCAATCCGCCAGACCGTCGACGATTGGCTAAATTCTTTTTATTTGACTGCCACTTGCAGTGGTATGATGTTATGGTATAAATAAGAGTGCTGTGCAAAACGAGCGTCGGTGATGCAATGGTTAGCATACGCTCCCGGAAAGAGTGCGATCTGGGTTCGAATCCCGGCTGACGCAAATGTTTTTGCACAGCACTCCATATTATTGGGTATCAGATTATATATTGTGGTCGGCGTGGATTTCATCAGCCGCTGTGGATCGGTTCGAGTGGTTCACGTCGCGCGCGTATCAAATAGATAAGCGATGAGTCACACACGACGCAATGCGGCGGCAAATGAACCGGCTGGGATGGTTGGGGCGGTGCTCTTCCCGAGAGATGGCCGCGCCGTAGACGATGATGACAACAAACAATCGTCGTCGACTCGATCATCGCCTCCAGCCGTCATCGTTTCTAGATGGCCCTTTCGATCACGTCATTCGCTGGATCGTTCCCTTCCTCCCCTCTTCTGGACGACGAACGATTCTCATCGTAAGAGTAACCTTGGAGCTGTTCTGAGTCGGAAAACAGAAGGAAATCCCTCGTTACATGCATGCTGCTCTCACTGGTTATAGTTGCCGTTTGAAAAAAGATTTTGGGATTTACAACTTTAGTCATATTTTGTTTTGTTGTTGTCTTCTCAAGATTCTCTATGTTTTCAGTGCTTTTTCGCAGTGTTATGATGTTTCAAATATTCATAAGAGAGTTGATTGGTGAGCAAAAATACGACCTCAGACGGGAGTCGAACTCTCGTCTCAAACCATCAACAGGTTTGGTGGGTGTAGGCAGTATCGCTCTATAAACTCAGTTAAGCTGACTGCCATAGAATTTTAGTGTAAGCACGCGTCCCCGGTATCTATGAAGCGAGGGTTCGACTCCCGTCTGAGGTCGAGTTTTTGCTTACCACTCAATTCTCATATGAATAGTTGTCTCCTCGATTGATCAGACCTCTTCATTGGGTGGTGATCGCTCAAGTCTTCCCTCGAGTCTCTGGCCCTTGTGGAGAATTGTGGTCCCATCTATTCCTAGTTGATCTCTTTACATAGTGGTACCTTGTGGACAGTTGTGGTCTCATCAGTTTCTGAAGTAAATTATGAAAAACGATGCTGAATGGTTTGCAAAACTTCTGCCTCCGGGCAGGACTCGAACCCGCATTTCATCCTATCCGGGTGCGTGTGCTCTAACCTGTTGCACTACCGATGCCTGTGTTGCTGTCACCCTTTCGACGCTACAACCCATCATCTGTACTCAACCAGCAGTCAACGGTTTGGCCTCGTAGTCGACATCGACACTGTACCCAGTAACTCTGACAGATATTCAATATACTCATTGATGTAGGGTGATGTGCAAAACTCTCGCGTCATGTGGGACTCGAGCCCACATCTCGCTCTATCCTGGTGCAGTGGTTCTAATTCGTTGCACTACTGACGACCGTTCTGCTCAGCACTCATCAGATATCGGATACATATGCTAAAGACAAGCATGAAAACATAAGAAAGAGTGCTATCAAACAGGCGTTGGTAGTGCAACGAATTAGAGCCCGTGCACCAGGATAGAGCGAGATGTGGGTTCGAGTCCCGACTGACGCGAAAGTTTTGCACATCGCCCTACATCAACGAGTATATCGGATATCTGTCAGGGTAACTGGGTTCAGTGTCGATGTCGACTACGAGGCCAAACTGTTAACTGTTGGTTGTGCACAGATTGATGAGTTGTAGCTTCGAAAGGGTGACAGCAACACAGGCATCGGTAGTACAATCGGTTAGAGCACGCGCTCCCAGAAGGGCAAAGTGCAGGTTCGAGTCCCGCTTGACGCAAAAGTTTTGCACATCGCTTAACATCATTGGGTATATTTGGAAAGTCGTACCACCGGCTTAAGCGAGTTAAGTAGAAGCAATTCTTGTCTTTAACATGAATTACAATAAATGTTTAAGGAATTGAAAGGTCCATATCTCTCCGCTGGCATCGAGTCATTTCTTTGATCATCGACCAGTTTCTAATGTCGTCAATTTGTCTATATAAGCTTATCGCATAATGGAAATTAAGCTATTCTTTCCAGCTATGGCATATCCTCCGACGTACAACCTCCAGCAGATTTTCTCTTCTGTTGACAAGGATAGGTACGAATTCATAATAAGGCTAGATAGTCGTACTAATATTTATTTATTATTAAATTTTCAACGATTATCAGATCCGGTAATATAAGTGTGGATGAGCTACAGCGAGCATTATCGAATGGGACTTGGAATCCCTTCAATCCGGAAACTTGTCGTCTAATGATCGGTAGGCCTTTCATTCGTTGCTTTGGACACTTTCTTTGTTTTGAAATTGGGCAAACAATCTGCTGCCTTCATTGGAGATTGTCAGATTTTTTTTATTCATTAGACCCTGACAGCATATTTCGAGGCTTTCTTGGGGTCTGTTATGGCACCTTTAGTGTTAGACATTCGTTTCGGCCTTCTGCCACATTAGTAGCATGGCGCCTTTAGGCTCGGTCAATCCCTTGTAAGGGATATACCCCTGCATATAGGAAATTGACGCCAAATTAATTACGCTGCATGTAAGGTGAAACGTTCACCCTAAACTGCAGTGATAACAAGCCAGCCTCGAGCATTCGACTGTTAATTATTACAATTTAAGGTGGACTTACGTTTATAGTGATTTGCTATCACTGCAGTGTAGATTGATCTTTCACTTTTACAGGCGGTATAATCAATTTGGCATCAATGCTCCTATATATTCCCCTATAAGGGATTGAGCGAACTGAAAGGCATCGTGCTACTGATGAGGCTAGAAGGCCGAACCGAAAGTCTAATACTATCACCTGTCACCTGTCGTCCCGTTGATCGTCGAGTGACTCGAGCGGGTACCAGTAACTCTTCCACTTTTCCCTATCGCGTGCAAGAGTAGCCCAGTGGGTCCTCCTCGCTTTAGGGATTCGCTGAGCATCATATCTTTCTTCTATCGATTTCGTGAAGAAATCGGACCAAAGGATCAGTGGTCTTCCTTTAGAGCTCTTGACGTCCCGAGAAATCCAGTCGGTAACGGCTCTCATCCATCGGTTGCCATTGAAGCGTATCACGTGTCCGGCCCTCGTGACAGTTGTGGTCTCATCAGTTTCTGAAGTAAATTATGAAAAACGATGCTGAATGGTTTGCAAAACTTCTGCCCCGGGCAGGACTCGAACCCGCATTTCATCCTATCCGGGTGCGTGTGCTCTAACCTGTTGCACTACCGATGCCTGTGTTGCTGTCACCCTTTCGACGCTACAACCCATCAATCTGTACTCAACCAGCAATCAACGGTTTGGCCTCGTAGTCGACATCGACACTGTACCCAGTAACTCTGACAGATATTCAATATACTCATTGATGTAGGGTGATGTGCAAAACTCTCGCGTCATGTGGGACTCGAGCCCACATCTCGCTCTATCCTGGTGCAGTGGTTCTAATTCGTTGCACTACTGACGACCGTTCTGCTCAGCACTCATCAGATATCGGATACATATGCTAAAGACAAGCATGAAAACATAAGAAAGAGTGCTATCAAACAGGCGTTGGTAGTGCAACGAATTAGAGCCCGTGCACCAGGATAGAGCGAGATGTGGGTTCGAGTCCCGACTGACGCGAAAGTTTTGCACATCGCCCTACATCAACGAGTATATCGGATATCTGTCAGGGTAACTGGGTTCAGTGTCGATGTCGACTACGAGGCCAAACCGTTAACTGTTGGTTGTGCACAGATTGATGAGTTGTAGCTTCGAAAGGGTGACAGCAACACAGGCATCGGTAGTACAATCGGTTAGAGCACGCGCTCCCAGAAGGGCAAAGTGCAGGTTCGAGTCCCGCTTGACGCAAAAGTTTTGCACATCGCTTAACATCATTGGGTATATTTGGAAAGTCGTACCACCGGCTTAAGCGAGTTAAGTAGAAGCAATTCTTGTCTTTAACATGAATTACAATAAATGTTTAAGGAATTGAAAGGTCCATATCTCTCCGCTGGCATCGAGTCATTTCTTTGATCATCGACCAGTTTCTAATGTCGTCAATTTGTCTATATAAGCTTATCGCATAATGGAAATTAAGCTATTCTTTCCAGCTATGGCATATCCTCCGACGTACA